CATGGCTGCAACACGATAAAGCAACATGAGCTGAAAAGGAAGCGTTTGGTTTGAAAATCTTCATCTACCAGAGGGGCAGTGCCATCCAATTGCCATTACATTTAGATGTTTCAACAAACCGGGAAGTGGCGGGAGGAGAAACGAGCATACATGTTGGAAAGAACGGAAGCACTGCGTACACCACAGGAAATGGTGTCTTGCTGCATCGTTACAACGTTTTAAAAAAAAAACTGGTTTAAAAAAGAATTATGCTTTGACGTGTCTATGCTTGAACATGATCACGGTTATACATATTCAAACATTGGACTGTTGTGTTGTATTGCTTGTTTATAGTTAAAATCGGTTAAAATACATATCCTACGCTTTTATTCTGAAGTGTGCTTCCAGGGCCATCCGGAAGTCACCGGAAATGGCAAACATGTGTCCTCTGAAGTTTATGTTTGTAAATTGCTAGTGTGTAGCCGAATGACCTAAGCGACCGTGTAACTCCATCCACAATGAACAGCTGTAGGAGAATTGCCTGTAGTGGCTGGAGGTCCGGCCTGAACACCGTCTTCTCCCGGATCACAGCCCCGCCCCTCAGCCGGAGCCAGGCCACCTCCGCTGCCCCAGACCCCGACACGGGAGAGAAACCCCGGCTTAGAGCTATCGACCTGGCGAAGGAGGTCCAGCAGGAGAAGACGAAGCCCCCGGTGGTGGGACAGAGGAAGAAGCCCCAGGCGGAGGCGTCGGGAGCAGCGGAGGCAGAGACTCCTCCGCCTCCGTTCGGGCAGCAGAAGAGGGTGATGGAGCTGAAACGGTTCAGTCTGCAACTGCAACAAGTTCATCCCAACGTGCTGGCCAAACACCTGCTCAGAGGTGTGCTGTACCAGGACAAAGATGTGGTGATCACCAACAAACCTTATGGAGTTCCTGTCAAAGGTAAACTATCAATAGTTGAAGACATGAATCAAACATATTTAAAATCTAAGTTCAGTCAAAGAGAGTTTTTGGTAAGGAAAATTCATGGATGGATGGTTATTTCCTTAGAGCTAATACGATTAGTTGATTAATCCATTGGTGTGTTATTGCAAGAAGATTTTTAACCAGCTTGATAGATGGTTGTTTTATAGATTTACCATTTTTTAAACTTCAACTGATTTAATAAATAAATAATGTAATTTAATGTAAATGGTCAATACATGTTTTGAAACCCAGCATATTGTATTACAATGTATTGTTTTGTGCTGTCCACAACTAAAACATTTAATTTAAAATAAGATGCAACAACTGAAACAACGACATATTTTTGTTAAATAAAATAAAATATGAAATCTAAAATATGAATTAATTGTGTTTTGTACAGTGTATTGGGTGGACAGAGCCATCAACTATTAATTTGCTTAATTGGCTGTCTGGAATTCCATGCAAATCTGCCATTATACTCTATGCACAATGTGCAAAAAGATAATAAGCCAATATAAGCCCATTACATAATTATGTGTCTGCTGATATTCACCAAAAATGGTAACTACTGACAGTGTAGTATTGCAGTATTTGAATAGTTTTGATCGTTACAATATTTTCATAAATGTAAAATCCTACTGACATTGGACTGCCTGGACCTGAATACATGTGTATTTACTGTTGCTGTTCTCAGATGATTGCGGGGGAACATCCATCTCGTCTGTGCTGCCTGTTCTCTCCAAAATGATGGATGGGATGAAGATGAAGTCTGATTCTCAGCTGATCCCATGTCTGCGGCTGGAGAAGGAGACAACAGGAGTGTTCCTGCTGGCCAGGAGTGAAGAAGCAGTGCAGCACATACACAGCCTTGTCACAAATAACCAAGTGCAGAGAAAATACTGGTAAGAGAAGAAGTAGGACATAACACTGCAGTGCATACCCTTTTATCTGATGTCACAGAAATACATGTCTGTGTGAAACTTTAAACAATTTAACAAACTTCTTAGGCAGTACCAAATAATCAATGTGTATACACAATTTCACAATTTTTAACATAAATGGATTTTGATGTATGCTTAATCCCAGGAGGAATTTAGATTTGTTGTAATAGTCTGGGATATGTCAATGATAGGAAAGGAGTAGGAAGTTAGCATTAGATGCCTCATAAAGCAACCATGAGAAACTGGTTCATTCTGGTGGAAAACTGTAACAATTACAACATTGAAACTAGGGTTCCGGATGTAAAGACGTATATGCAAGTGTTGACGTTTTGCTGTAATTGCTGTGGGATCCGAAATTGCGTTTTTAATGAGGACATTTTTGTCCATAAGAGTCTCTGAGTGTCTGTCTTTTTGCTGCACAGTTTATTATAAACTTATTATATTATCCCTAGAATGCACAATGGTTAAAGATCTTTGTGAGTCTTAACATTTTCACCTCCTCAGGGTGGTCATAGTGGGTGTACCTGTTCCATCAGAAGGAGTGATCGACATCCCCATCATAGAGAGAGAGGTCCCAGGCCCTCGCCCGCACTACAAGGTGACTCTTCAGTAAAAATGTGTCAATTAGTTTGTTCAGCTGACAGAAAACGAAATCTAAATTTGATAATGAATTGTCGTTGTGAGTATGCATACCAGTTGCAGCTTTACAATTACAGAGAGCTGCTACAGTATAGTATTTTTGCTATTGGTCGCATTGTGTTAACTTAGTAGACTTTTGCTATTTACAATTGCTTTTAGTTAAAAAAAGTTGAATATATTTAAATATTAAAATAATTATCATTCTTGGTATTACTCTTCTATAAACCTTTTCTTTTATTTCAGATGGCACTAAGTCCTCTTTTCAGAGTGAGTGATACAGGCGAAGGTGTGACCAAAGTCCGCGCCAATCGGCAATCCCAGCCTGCAGTGACCAAGTACAAAGTGTTGGGCAGCGGCAGTGGCTGCAGCCTCGTGGAGCTCCAGCCTTTAACTGGTAAGATGGGTGTTCATTCTTTTTACCAGACCGCCATTTCAGCTTGTCAAATTTCCTTTCAAGAAGACTGGATACATTTTTTCAACACAATGTCCTTCTTTCATCCACAGAAGTGAAGCACCAGATGAGAGTTCACATGGCACTTGGTCTGACATGCCCCATTCTTGGAGACCACAAATATTCCCACTCAAGCAAACTGGCTCCTCAGGTAAGATGTTTACATTGTAACACAGAGACAAGACAACATTTGTTCCCAATAACAAATAGAAAATTACCCTTAAGGAAGAGTGTAATATCATCAGCTGCGCTTTGACAAGGGGACAGAGGCATACCCGTTGTTAAAGCTGTACTTTGATAGGTCCCTGCGCTTCATTAACCCATTATATAATAATTGCCTAATAGAAGTTTTATTAAATGTACCATTGCTGTATCTCAAATAGTAAAAAAAAAAAAATCCTAAACATGTTGTAGATGTTTTCCTTTGGAATCAACTTTCCCAGATTATGCAAATCACACATGAATGTTTTTAATCGCCTCTAGTTGTAAAAAGCTACTGGTTCTACACTAGAGGTAGAGAAGCCAAAATAATCAGATCAGAAATAATGTAAATAGCTGCTGACAGCCAACTGATCGTACGCCTTATATGATCTATCTTTCGCCCTTTGTGGCGGAAATTGAAAATGAGAAGCAACCTGTGCGGTGATAAGGCTGATAAACCTCAACAGGAGACAGTGAGATGTGTCACATGTATATCCTTGAATTCTTTATAAACGTATTTAAACTGTAAGTTTAATTTTTTTTTTTAATTTCATCTCCCTCCCAGTTAACAAACCAGCTACTCTTAATGACTGATCCTCAAACCCACCCTATTGGCATTATAAATCTGATGGATTCTTTCATTCAAAATGTCATGTTGACTTTTGGTTTGCTTTCACTTGGGTATATAATTCAAAATGTATTGACATGTTATGAGGACCAACATTTCTGCAAGAGCCCAGTTTCTCTCACTCAGTATGTGCACCTTTGATAATAAGTAACACATTTGTTCATTTTGGTGCGCAGAAATTACCGGAGCGTGTGCTGGGAAAGCTTGGACTGGAGCAGAGCAAGATCCGCCATCTTCCTCTTCACGTGCTCGCTCGACAGCTGACGCTGGCAGGAAACACACAAGGAGACATCAACGTGACCTGTCCCCTGCCTAAATACTTCAAACAGACGTTGAATCGACTGCGTTTAACGTTTTCGGATGAAAAGGACCAGCTATAACCACCTTTGTTTTTTTGTTAGCAATCCAAAGGATGTATAAATGCAGTGAGCAACTGCAGTAAAGGATTTCAGCTGCAACATGGGACGGGAGTGCACCATTTAAGTTAAATGGGAAATTAAATCATATCAAGCTTTGTAAATGTGAGATGCAAAATTATCAAACGGAAAATGTACAGTGCTATACAACTCGTTTTTTTAGTAATAAACAAATGAAGCAGAACTGTATTACAACTATTTCTTTCAATTAGTAAATCCAAATGTACACGTCATATCAAGGGAGGCATAGCCAGGCTGCTGTTGGTGTGACAAGTCATCTTTAAAAAAGGCCCACAAATAATCCACACTTCTAAAGTCAGAGTTGCATTTCCACAAACACAGCGCTAAATTACTTTCACTTTTGAATTGCTTGTCATGAGTTTGGATACAAGGATTAATATTAAGCTAAAGAAATGTTTTTTCATCTGCATGTCCTGTTCAATAACCCACTATTCATACAAACAGGAATAAGTAGGCAGAGATCCTTGATGGTGGTTTAAATCACTAGCTATGACCTGAGAAAAAAAGTTTCTAATCTCCTGAACGACCACAATATAGCACTTTGACCTTGTATCTGAGGTTTGACTCACACAAGCATAAGCTATGAAGTCTTTTTTGAAAACAGGCACACGTTTTTAAGCTCTGAACGTATCGATACAGGATTCAAAATGCAGTCAATATACAAAAACAGTTGTAAGAAGTGGTCCTGTATTCGTCCATTAATATGTATCATAGTGGGACTTTGAAGAAAACGCAAATGTGGTAAATAGTCGGCAAGGTTAAGTAGTAAAGGGTTTAATATCCTCATTGTTTTGATACTTTTACAGAAAAATGTACCCTCTCTGATGAGCTCGGAGGGCAGGAGGTCAAATAGGTCCAGCAGTGGTGAGACTAAATCCTCCCTTACTTGCCAGTTTAAAGGTTACAGAGGCAATGGCTTACAAAAGGTGGTCAAAGAATACAGTCCAACCCAGCAGTTGAAAACAGAAAATGTAAGAAAAAAAAGATTCATTCAAGATGAACTCCTTAGAGAGATAAAACCATTGCAGTACGATATTTCAGAAGTTGTCTCATTTGATTTGAGATGACGGGGCTTGAGGTTTATAGAGTCAGGATGGATACTGCATAGTCAACAATCAGTGACTGGAGTCCCATGAGTCCAGGGAGCCTTCTCAGCCTAGCTCATGATGCCCTCTACAACACTGAAGATCTCCTGGATCTCTCGGACCACGATGATGCGGGCCAGTACCTGCTCCACTTGCTGACTCGTGAGGGGCTGAGACGAGTACCACATCGGGCTGTTGGGTGCAACGACAGGCTCTGGAGTCATGTAGTATGCATCGTTTCTCCCCTTAGCGCTTTGAGGACTGAAAAAAGAAAAAAAAAGGTACGTTTTTAGGAAATCCATACTCGAAAAAAATAAAAATAAAAGTTGTAATCTCTCCTCTCAAGATCTCTGAAAAAGCTCAGAAGTCTCCCCATTAAAAAAATGCCAACCAAATGTTCCTATGGTGTTCTTCAAGGTCTTAATTATTGGGCACAGATCTGGGTAATACAAATGATATCCACCCAAAAATAGCTGCAAAACTTAGGAGACATAATAGATCATGGGAATGGTCAATAAGGTATTAAGCCTTTACACATGTTTAGGTACCCATCTTTACTTCTATGTGGCATTTACTGTTGACATTTAATCAGCCCCAGTCCCCAATAGTAAGAGGTTGACGATGAGGCACACTGAGGAATGATCCAGTTACACAGGATGTATGTGATCGAGTCACTCACCATTTGAAGAGATAAAAGTCATAAAGTTTAATGGGGCAGCGAAGAGGATTCTCTGGATCCTCAATCTGCTCGTCGTACATGTCGTCAGTTCCTGAAAAAGAAGACCCACAACACATCAGCACAAGAAACTTCTGCTGTCCAAGTCCGTGACTCATACCATGGCTTCCTCCCACATTAGGCTTACTGTATTGAGCACCTTTCTGTCCTGCACTCTGCGGACCTTGTCCTTTGAGAAGGCGGATACTGGTGGCTTTGTCCTTGGCATTAGCGGGGTTCTTCCTCGTGTGTCTTAGGACCTTGGAGAAAGCAACGTTCATGTGTTGTTCAGCTGTCATCAGTTGGAAATGCCTGTGAAAAACACACGTTTAGCACATCAGAGACATCTAAAGTGCACGTCTGTGTCATTAAAGAGAACATATTCAGGTCAGTCAGTGCTGAGACAGGGTTACTCACTTAGTGTTGAAATACATTAGGGTTGTGAGCAGTGTGGATGGTGAATGTGCACCGAGCTGTTTGCACTCCCACAGCATTTCCTCAGTCACATGACTTGGAATGACATAACCTAAGATGAAAACACACAATGAGCAAGTCTTTCTATAACACAATGAAACACAAGCATTAGTGTTGATTGTCTCTAACCTAAGGGATGGACACTGGGTCTCCAACCATCCAGAATTTTGTGTAAACACCCACAAAATCGTGTGTAATATGGATCGGAGAAAATGTCATCCACACGTCCATTTTCAGAGAGATACTGATCAAAGAAAGAAAGAAAAATGAGCAGGTTAAAACTTTAAGCAGACAGCGTGTTGGCATGATGCACAAGTTGAGCATGGGAAAGCTAACCTTTTGTATGCACAAGAAAACATAATATAGAACATCAGATGTGAACTGCTCTTCCTCTGATCCTCGTGCCTCTTGGGTCATGAGGGAAAGACCCAGGTTCAGCTCGGCTACTGCACTTGACACCAAGTCTTCTTGAAAACGCAGCGGCTGACGACCTGTAAGAAGCCACGGACAGAAGAGCAAAGGAAACGTTTTTATCAGTGCTATTATAACTAAATCAACATGCTTAGTTCTCAGTTTAAAGCAGAATGGAAGTTATTAAGAAGTTAAATATGAACATTGATGTATCAGGAATGAAAAAGAAACTATTCTTGTTTGAGTAAGTATACATTTATAGACATCATGGCTGTTTGATTCATATCAAATAGGAATGTGTGTGCTAATAGTAGTTAGTTGACTTACGTCCTATGGGTGCAAGCTTTGTCTTTTCCTGCTTATTAAGCTCTGCATTTTTTCTCTTAACCCAAAGACGCCAGACCTCCAGGCCCTCCTCTGGCTTCAGGGAGATAGGAACCATGATCTCTGTAGGCTGCTCCACATGAGCCTCCGTCTCTATGTGACCCTGCACAATTACCAAAATGAAATAATCACAGTTAATACTTTCTGCGATACAGTGCAGCAAGAATGAAAAGCATCTTTGTAGTCATATGATGATAACTCAGCTAGATAACTGTAATTACTTAAGTGGCAACATCTTACATGTCATTTTTCTTATTCATTTGTTTAGTCTATCAAATTCCGATATTTGAATATTCTTAGGAATAGAAGGTTCATTATTCTTTGAAATTGGTATATTAACATTATTATGCTATTATTTGATCGTAAGATCAGTGCCATGGAAGAGTGACAGAATGTTGTTAATAATAAAAAGAGATTACAAAGAAAGTCTGTTCGAACCTGCAGATGGAGCTGCTGGTCTTGTCCATCGTCTCCTTGGCCATGCTGCTGATTTGGATCCCAGATATGGACCGACTGCGTGGTGTTGTAAGACCCTCCTACAGTCTGCACTGCCACAGGGATATGAATGTTCCCGTTCATGAACTGCGCTGGGAACAGGGTCTGCACTATTTCTTCCTGCGCCCCAGTTGAGGGCGACTGCACATCTGCAGACCTTGATGAACTGGGGGACATTTTGTCCTTACCATTGGTGGTGGACACTTGCATTGAGTTGTATGTGTCCTGTGGTATGGTGATGTGAGTAACCCCCTGCTGCTGGGGAGTGGAGTACACAGGGATGGTCCAGGTCTCGCCTGTGGGACCAGTGATGGTTCCTGTAGTGCTGTACAGTTGAGCGCTGTCAACAGTGAGCAAATCTGGTCGTAGGGACACATAGCTCTGCTGCTGCCCTTGAGGGATGGCTACAACTGTGGCTACCTGCTGGCCCTGTGGGACTGCATAGGACACCGACACAGGGACATCCACCTTACGCTTCTTGGCCGGTTGAAGGACAGTTGACACAGTGGAGGACCTCCTCTCTGCCTCTCTGGCAGAGTCCTGTTGCTGTGATGGAGACGAGGTTTCTATGGTCCGAATCTGGATCTGTTGGCCATCTTGTAGTTGAATTTGCTGGCCACCCTGTAGTTGAATCTGTTGGCCACTGTGTAGCTGAATTTGCTGGCCACCTGGTAGCTGAATTTGTTGGCCTCCCTGTAGCTGAATTTGTTGGCCACCCGGTAACTGAATTTGTTGGCCCCCCTGTAGCTGAATTTGTTGACCACCTGGTAACTGAATTTGCTGGCCTCCTTGTAGCTGAATTTGTTGGCCACCGGGTAACTGAATTTGCTGGCCACTCTGGAGCTGAATTTGTTGGCCACCAGGTAACTGAATTTGCTGGCCACTCTGTAGCTGAATTTGCTGGCCATCGTGTAGTTGAATTTGTTGGCCACCCTGGAGCTGAATTTGCTGGCCACCCGGTAACTGAATTTGCTGACCACTCTGTAGCTGAATATGTTGACCATCATGTAGTTGAATATGTTGACCAGCTTGAAGTTGAATTTGCTGGCCGCCTGGCAACTGAATATGCTGCATTCCTTGCAACTGGATTTGTTGTCCTCCAGCTACAGCAGCCACCAGCTGCGCCTGAATCTGTGGAACACAGTCGAAATAATGAACAACCAGAATCACATTAAAGCACTTGATATGGGTAACTGTTTAACTACATCTAGTACCTGCTGCTGCTGCTCCTCTGTGAGCTCTCCCTGCTGGATAAAATGTGTTGAGATTCCCTGCAGGTCCTGCTGAGAGGGCGCAGCCACTTGAAGAACCTGGCCAACGGTTTGGTCCTGCTGTTCCTGGATCTGAACCTGGCACAGTGCAAGAGTTTGAAAAATAAACAGGCCTGTCAGAACACACATCAACAAAAGAATGACCTTACTTACACCGTGAAGTACTTTTTTCCAGAACTATGAATACCGAGTTGATCAAACTTCTTCTAATCAAACAGAGGAAGTTACGACACTATGTGTTTTTGTTCTTCACAGTGAGTGGTATTCAGCAGCAAGGGCAAAGATAGTTCAACCCAGCTCCACTTTAACCCAAATATTCAAACGCCAGGCAGCCTTATCTTTTGTTTTCCTCTTGGCAATGAGTAGAGCGTGTTTCTGTACCTTTCAGGCCCCATCTGTCTTGTGCAATTTAAGCATAGAGAGAAACGGACAGTGCCATATAAACTAACCTGCACCTGAAGCTGCTGTTCAGAATCTTGATGCACAGACAAATGAGGTGAAATCTCTGCCGATGTCACCTGTACCTGTCATAAAGCATGTACATGTATGAAGTGAATAATATAATTCAACATCTACAACCATAACAAAAAAAGGACCTGCTCTTACCGGACAAGCCAGCTCTAAGAGAGAGCCAGCCACCTCAGTGCTGTCTGCGTACACACAGTTGGTGTCTTGCTGTTGGTACACCATGGCTGTGGTGGTGGCTGCCCCTCCCTGCTGGCTGAACTCCTGCAGCACCTCTGGGCCCTTGGAGAGAGACTCGAGGAACTCCTTCATCCTGTGCTGAGGCACAGTACGGGCCTTCTGCCGCACATACTCATCAAAGGAGACCACCCCACTCTCCTGCTCATTCATCCTCAAGACCTAGAAAGAAAATAAAACATTAAAAAAAATGCTCTAGTCTAAAACAGCTCACTTTTACAATGTATAAGCACAGATATCGATAATGAATAGTATTCCAATAAAGCATGGGCAGTGCAATAATACAAGCACAAAAATAGTTAGCTTAATAATGTTATTTTAACCTCTACTTCTAAAAAAGGGGGCGTTTAATGAAAATAGGAGGCACACGGTCCAAAGTGCATTTTCAATACAATGACTGCTAGTGCACTTTTTCTAGTAACTTAAATAGTACGTTCACAGATATAGCTCACAGCTAGGTCTAAACTGTTATAATATAAAAAACTATTTCAGATAAATTTTAGAGCACCAACAGTACACATGCCTGCATTTTCGTCCTAACTGACTGATCATAGTGTCTACGTTACAGCTAGTGGCTAACAAGTTAGCTTTACGATGTTAGCAAGCCACTGTTTTGTAGCATATGGATAGTCATCTAGTAACCGCTATTTGTATACAACATAATCAAATACCAATGTGAAATATACTGTCAATTGTGCGAACAGGTGACACATTTTGCTCGTAGCACAAGTTAACAAACATTAAAGCAACAGTACATTCATAGCAACGCTAGCTAACCATTGTGCTAAGGTTAGCTAGCTAGCTCGATGGCTCTGAATCCTGTCATGCTACCTTAAATAAAACGAAATCCTCTCCTTTCCGCCAAGGCACGGTGTTTAAAACTAAAAAAGCTGATAACGTCTAACAGCTACCACCAGCACACCATTCACTTCGCAGCATTGTGTGTGTAGCGACGTTGTAATCCTGCAAACAATGCTGTGATTATAGATTGCGATAAAATTGTAAGAGCAGCGGCAGCGAGGAGGCGAGGTCTGACGTCTGATGAGGTCCAGGCACGCCTCGGTGTAAAACTAGTTTCACAGTTCCAGGAAAGCACACGATGTATGGATCCAACTTAATTCCAATTGGTGTTGCTACAACATTCACAATACAGCGACACATGCGAAAAGTTCCACGGTTTATCCAGTAAGATACACAATGACGGAAGTATAGGCCCCGAAAACAACGCGACTCCTCTCTAGATTGCTCTGCAAGGCGACGGCCTGCCGCGGTGTCCTCTGAACAAGAAGAGTTTCCATCCTGAGAAAACACCATGCAGGCATGCACTGTAGGGCTATGTCACAAGCTGCAAGGATGCTTTATCAGATTTCATAATTTGCCTGTTTAATTAAAAATGCCACACTTTAATATCTAGTTTTGATTAGGAGCCACGATGCTACCTTGCCAAACACCACTATTAATAATCACCCACCATTTAATATATAATTGATTAACTGTATTACATGACTATATTATTATCTGGCACTGAAAAGCAGAGAGGGTAAATAACTGAACAAAGAATATATAAAGTTAAAATACACACACACTCACACGCACACACACGCAAACGCACACATACAGTGTATATACACTTATAAATATATGCAGTCAGATAGATAGATAGATAGATAGATAGATAGATAGATAGATAGATAAATACTACATCCAAATTATAGACTCTTATCATAAACTGTATCATAAATAGTCTGTCACTTAAAAATATAAAAACTTCTGTTGTTAATTTGCCTCACAATTATCTCCTTGTCAAACTTGATTTCAGACCAACAACAGGGTCCATAGCAATAATAAAGAGACATGTGGCCTGAAATTCTGGAAAGAATATGGTAAATGGACCTGTCAGACTATCTCGTACAATCACTGTGTATTACAGGAATGTGGTTTATTGTCATTCAAAATTGACTCATGTACTTATATGAGCTGCCAACATTTATAAATACTTTCCAGGATTGTTCTCGAGATGTCTAGTAAACATTTGAATGCATGTACCTTTAACAAAATGTAACTTCCCCAGTCTGCCTTAAAGAGCCAGGCATGTGCCGCTGAGGGCCTCCCCCAGTACTCTCCACAACAAACTGCCTCTCGCCCGTCTTAAGGTGGACCAACAAAGATGCACTGTGAGCATAGGCTATGTCCTCTACACACTGGATAGGAAAGAGTTAATTCCCACACTCACTGCAGACTGCAGGGGCTCTATAGTGGAAGTGGTGGTAGGGGTAATATACGTATGTAAATATTTGTTATATTAATTAAATAAAAAAGCTTTAGAGTAATGCAAAAACACAACAAGATTAATCTAACTGGTGGTCATAAATAACAGTCTCTTATACATTTTACAATACAGTATGCATCTCCTCTAAATGATCATGACATTTAAACTAATTAGCTAGTGAGTTTGCATGAAAGAAATCTAGAGTGCACGTGTCTTGTTGGCCTCACATTATCACTTCATTCGACTTGTGCTTCTTAATGTAATCCCTTAGGGAAGGGATTTGCCTTTATTTAACTCTATGCAAAATAGCCAATTGAGCCTTGTTTGTTTCTAATAGTCAATTACCTATAAAAAGGTTCCTTTTTTATATCCACTGAGAGGAACAATCTCCTGGAAGATTATTTATTTTTAATTGGCCCCTGATATTTTTTGTTTTGCAGGTGACATCAGCATGGGAGGCTGCCGAGTAACCAGCCGTGCTGTAATAGGAATAAGACGTCATCTTGATGGCTGTGTGCATGTCTGTAAATCCAATGTGTTGAACCCTGAACGGGATGCTATTTATGTACCTCAATACTAAAATCAGATGCTATGCTATAAGTGGAGTGCTGCCTTTGACGCACCACAGGGAAGAAGAGCAAAAATGAATCACAGGTCAGTTATCTGGTTTTATTGAGTTTTAGCTAATTGTCTTGGGTTTAGCTTATAGTAGCGATTTGTTTTTGGTAAGAGATTGTTTTGGTAATTATGTGTTATGACCAGAGAATTGGTCAATCCTTCTTTCTTTTGCTTTAGAGAATCCACAAGAGCATTTTATGTCAAGCTTAGTTAATGCTTTTGTATTTGTTCTTGACAAAGTGCACTTTGACATTCTTAACACAAAGTCAGGAGAAAGGGCATTTCTTAACCTATGGTTAATAGTTTGAGCATTTTTAAATAGACAAACATAAATCAATTTTGTTTATCATTTAATGTTCCCTGAGCTTGCATTTTTAAATAAGGTAATCTTTAAGAATTGTTTATGGCATTCTGAAAATGTTGTCATTATGTATAATATACCAAGAGGTCACAGACTGGCTCATCCTGTTTGTGCCAAGCTGTGTTGTATTTTTTGCTATAAAGAACACAATAAACGGGCTGGCAATAAAAACCTTTCTGGATCTGGAACCACACTAACTACATCACCAGCACTTACTCTTCACCACTCAGAGGCTCATGAGAGCTGACAAAGCTAATACTTAAATTACAGGAAACACTCCCTGCACTGCACACACACTTCAGAGAAAGCTCCCTGGGAAGGCAGCAACATTACAACTGAGGAAAAGTTAAAAGATTATTCGTACATCAATAGTGAGTTGAAAGGGAGAAGCATTTATTATTATCTCATTGTACATTAAACAATTCTATTCTATTCTAGTTAATCAATAGAAGTGAACATAGTTAATTGAAGTAAAAACATATGTCATCCATTCCTAAATTATTTTCTTTAGGTTGATATGATGATAAGAGATCACAATATACTGTCAGTTCTTAAAGATAGATCAAATGTAATATCTTTTAGCCACATAATAAAATGCACAGTTAATTAAAACATATATTTTTACAAATTGAATCCTCCTCAAAATAAGACTCTCCTCTGCCTCTTTCTGCCTCTCATTTTAAGGTTTGGACAGCCCTGATCTCATCAAACAATGCATCATCTTCCACAATGAACCAGAACCTGTCGGGACCTGCAGGTCCATGTGTGCTTGGTTTGAGTCCTTGTGTAGTTCTTGCAAACTCAAATGGTACCAATCTGCTCTGGGATGACATGGGCTGCACACTGGCATTAGCCTGGGAATTTCATGTTTTTGGATCAGCCACCCTTTTCATATTGATGGCAGGCCTGGCCGTTTTGGGAGTGGCTGGTGCATGCACTCGTCCTCGCCCCCTCTGTGAAGCCCTGATTTTGGCCAATAGTCTCCTGATGCTAGGTGGTACTCTGCGTGGTGCCGTTTTACTCCTCGATCCTTATGGCACTCGTGGTATCCTGCCCCGTGCAACTCTGACTGCACTTCATAATGTTCCTCTGCTGATCCTCCTGTGGGCGCAGGTGTTCATTGCTCTGGTCACTTTTAAAGGATTGAAATGGTTTTTTTTCCCGCTTAAGCTGCAGCACCCATGGGTGGTTGGATTACTGGCGTTATCACACTGTACCCCATTAATTGCAGCAGACCTTTTTTGTTACACACTATGCCCCACTCTCCCTCTGTTGCTGCAGACTATTTCCCTCTGCTTGGGCCTGTTTTTTTGCATGGGAATCCTCATCATGTCTTTCTCTAGTCTGCACCCCAGTCTCAGGTCGCCTGTACCCCAGTGCGTTTCCTCACAGAGGATTGAGAAACGTGCAAAGCGAGTTACGGCAGTGTGCTCCTTCTTCGGGTTTCTCTGCTGCAGCCTTCACATGTATGGTCTCCTCTGGCTTTATGGACTCCTGGGGAACTGGAGATACTTTGGCTGGGGCTGGTGGCTCAGTCAGTTTTGGGCAAGAATACTCGAGTTAGCGTGGGGATTTTTTTTGCTTGTCCTGGGATCTTGGATCTTTTGGACATCTTCTTGTGGTCATTCGGAGCAGGGCAGAAGTGAAGTGGCTAAAGCGTTAGAGAAGACCAGCTGGTGCGGTAGGATCTTGGCCAGAATATGGAGAGGACCACTTAAAAAATCTGAAAAAACTTGGGAAGATTTGAAGCCAAGTAACTGGGCAAAATATGATGTGTCTAGAGCATGTTTCATCAACAACTTAACATGTCCGTATGACGATCAACCGTCTAACATTACACCAGAATACAACCCTGAACCTGTAAGCAAAAGCAGCTCTGACTCTCAAGCTGCATTACTTTGGCAAAAAGTTGGGGAGTGTGAATGTATTATTTTACTGGTAGAATTAGACATTCGGCCTCCATCTCCCATTAACCTCAGGTGCAGCATTGACAATGCCCTTTACCATAGGCAGCTTGTACCAGGTCTGTTTACACCTCAACCTCCCCCTTGGACACAAACTATGTGCAAGGACACTACTGAGGAAACTTATTATGGTACAGCAATATTCCCTCCATCTTATTCTGGCCATGGCTGGACGTTGGAAAAAGAGTCTCTATCTGCATCTGTGGAAGGTATTGTCGCTAAAGAACCGTTACAGTCAGTCAGTGTTACCACAGATTATAATCGTAGTGTTAGGTCTCCAGCTGCTGCAGTGATGCATCTGCGTGACTTGTCTGAAGAAGATGTCACAGGCCTCTAAACTGTTTCTAAGTTCAAGAGACCCACTCATACTATCTATCATCTAGCCTTCATGAAAAGGTACAATCACATGTGGAGAGAGCTTCCGTAAGACATGGCCTCATCCAAGCAAGAACTGATTTCCTTATGTGTCATTCATTTTCATTTGACTCGCATTGACTCTTCTAAATACATCTTCACTTGTTGTAGCAGAATTGTATTCAAATGTGAAGAGCATGGACATTTCCCCCAGGGTATATAGCATTTCAGGATTTATAGATGTTTGTATTCTTTGTCTCTGTATGCCAGTGTTATTTTTGTATGAAGAATAGACCATCTTTAAATTAAAGTGTGAATTTCCTACCATCTGAGTTAACACCACTCTCTTGTTGTTGTAACCTCACTGGTTAAAAGCCATGTTGTTTAGGCTCATCTTTGATAATATGAAAGCTGCATTATTTTAAACCTCAAAAATGTATATGATTGTATTTTTTGGTGTTAAAAAAGTTTGAATGAATGACTTTGATAAAGTCCATGTGCAAAAGTTGCATTAAACCCGAGAACTGTCGTTTTAAATTGTTTATGTGTAGCAAAGTTTGTAAAGCACAAATGCAATTATATTGTTCCAATGTTTGTTCTGCACAGTATACTAACAGTAGTTTACTCATTCATCAATTTGATTGAATTGTGGCTTTTAAAAAAATCTATTTTTTTAGTTGAATCTGTTGTTGCGATCATCAATACACTTCTTAAATTCTTCTTAAATCTACCCAGTTTAACTATTTA